TCTCCCAAATCTCCTTTTATTGATCATGTGTTTACAAATGTTGACACTTTCATTGCCTTTTTTTATAATGGCTGTGTTTAAAACTTAATCTGTAATTACTTTCCTTCCTTTGTTTCATATAAAAAAGAAGAAAATGGAAAGATATTCTTTTCAGAATAAAATAGAATAACTTGATCGTCATTGTACATCGTACAACAAAATTAAATGCCATCCCCAATACACAATATATATGTAGAATTCCATTAATCCTTCCACATTCTAATCACGATCGCACAATCCCTAAGGCCACATCAGTGTGAAACCATCTAATCAATATAGTAACTTTAAAATTGGCAATATGCATTACTAAGGTAGGAAATACAAAGTGATCAGTCAGGCTCCTTCTACATTGCCATATAAAATCCAGATTATCTGCTTTGAACTGTATTATATGGCAGTGTAGAGGCATATACTCCAGTTCAAAGCAAATAATGTGGATTATCCTCTTTAATAATATGGATTATATAGCAGTGTAGAAGGGCCTCTATTGAAGTGTATTTGATTAAAACAAACTGGGTCATTATACTACCCATTTCATATTTTTAATTAAATTGACGTTTCATTTATTATTTATTTATTTCCCATATTTATACCCCGCTCTTCTCATCCCGAGCAGTTTACAGATTGGCCACTTCAGTGCCACATTATAGTATAAAATATATAAAATACAACACATTAAAACATCAACAAAATAAACATACAAATACATAAACTGTTAAAACTTGATAGCTAAAACCATGGTCATCCTTTATGTTGCTGGATATCAATTCTGTTTTGCACTATTCCTGAATGCCTGATCCCAGAGCCAGGACTTAACTTTTTTTTCTGAAGACAAGGAGGGAGGGCGTGAATCTAATATCGTTGGGGAGGAAGTTCCACGGCCGAGGGGCCACTACCGAGAAGGTCCCGTCTCTCATCCCTACCAGTCACACTTGTGAGGGGGTGGGACCAAGAGCAGGGTCTCCCAGGTAGATCTTAATGTTCTAGCTGGTTCATAGGAGGAGATACGTTCGGACAGGTAAGTTGGACCGGAACCATGTAGGGCTTTATAGACTAAAGCCAGCACTTTGAATTGTGCCTGGTAGCAAAGTGGCAGCAAGTGGAGCTGACGTAACAGGGAGGTTGTATGCTCACTGTACATTGGTCCAGTGAGAAACCTGGCTGCAGCCCGTTGGACTTCTTGGAGCTTCTGAACAGTCTTCAAAGGAAACCTATGAAGAGCACGTTGCAGTAGTCTATTCGGGATGTAACAAGAGCATGAACCACCATGGCCAAGTCAGACTTCCCAAGGTACGGGAGCAACTGGCACACAAGTTTTTATTGTGCCAAAGCTCCCTTGGCCCAAAACCTGAGGTTCTAGGCTCAGCGATGAATCCAGGAGAATGAATGAATTTTATTGTTACGGTCACAGACTTGGAGTATAAAACTTTAAAACTTTATAACATTAAAAAAAAGTTTTTAAAAAGTTTTTTTTTAAGTCAACATTAAAACCAAAAATTCACAACATAAAAAGCAGAAAGCCCATGGGTAATAAGATGAGTAAGTTAAAACATTATCAGCTAAATAATCCACACAATGTTTCCTTATTTTTATAGCTGCCGCACAAAACTTAGCCACTCTATAAGTGATCAGTGGGTCCCTATCATCTATATGATGTACTAAATAATATTTATTTCTGTCTGGGATCTTTTGTACAATGGGAGTAATAAAAACAGATCGAATATCCTTATAGAAATGTCAGTGTAAAAGGACATGTCTGGCAGTTGACGTTTTATTCCAATATCTATCCAGTAGAGCAGTGTTGCTAACCTGTGGTCCGTAGACCACCAGTGGTCCACAGGAACCAAAATGTGGTCCATGGCCTCACCACTGCAACAAGAGTGGCTGGTCCCGCAAAACCCTCTTATAGTGCCGAGGAAGGGGAGAGGCTGACTACTCTTGGGGTTATTTGGGATGCTGATTCAGAAAATTGCATTGGATAAACTACATCAGCTCTAGATTATTAAATATGGTTTTCTTTGGATGAGCAGATGGTGGCTACTGGATGGCATATGTTTTGCATCAGAAACTAGAGCTGATGTGGTTTTCTGAATCAGCACCACAAATAACCAAACAGAATCTGAAGTTGACCAAAACTTGATTCATAGCCCTTTTGGTACTAATGGTGGGAATGACAGAGAAGGCCTTCTCCGTGGTCGCCCCTCCCCTTGAACTTTCTCCCTAAAGCTGCCCACCTCCCTCCTCTCCTTCAAAGAACAACTGAAAACCTACTTATGCTCACTAGCATATGGAGAGGGGGAGGATTAGATAATGAGAGATTATGGTAAGAACTATTTCATATTTGGACTCTCCTAGTCCACGCCAGCCCAATGGCCATCAGTTGACTACTCAACCAACCCACACTGTTTTGTGAACTCTAGTTGGTTGTTGTAAATTAATGTGGATGTTTGTTTAGCTTTTATGTTTTATATCATTGTGTTTGACTACATGTAATTTAATTTATTGATGCTAGGTTTAATTACTGATGTTAGGCTTTAATTTGATGTTAGGTTTTAATGTTATTTTCATAGAATCATAGAATCAAAGAGTTGGAAGAGACCTCATGGGCCATCCAGTCCAACCCCTGCCAAGAAGCAGGAATATTGCATTCAAATCACCCCTGACAGATGGCCATCCAGCCTCTGTTTAAAAGCTTCCAAAGAAGCCTCCACCACACTCCAGGGCAGAGAGTTCCACTGCTGAACGGCTCTCTCAGTCAAGAAGTTCTTCCTCATGTTCAGATGGAAACTCCTCTCTTGTAGTTTGAAGCCACTGTTCCGCGTCCTAGTCTCCAAGGAAGCAGAAAACAAGCTTGCTCCCTCCTCCCTGTGGCTTCCTCTCACATATTTATACATGGCTCATATCTCCTCTTCAATTCACCCCTGACAGATGGCCATCCAGCCTCTGTTTAAAAGCTTCCAAAGAAGGAGCCTCCACCACACTCCGGGGCAGAGAGTTCCACTGCTGAACGGCTCTCACAGTCAGGAAGTTCTTCCTCATGTTCAGATGGAATCTCCTCTCTTGTAGTTTGAAGCCATTGTTTTGCGTCCTAGTCTCCAGGGAAGCAGAAAACAAGCTTGCTCCCTCCTCCCTGTGGCTTCCTCTCACATATTTATACATGGCTATCATATCTCCTCTCAGCCTTCTCTTCTTCAGGCTAAACATGCCCAGCTCCTTAAGCCGCTCTTCATAGGGCTTGTTCTCCAGACTCTTGATATGTGGGGTTTCAACAGGATTTTATGTCAGTATTTGTTTGTTTTACGAAGGCATTGAATGTTTGCCATTGTTATGTTGGAATCCAACCTGAGTCCCTGGTCAAAAGTGGTCCCTGGTCAAAAAAGGTTGGGAGGCACTGCATTAAGGGGAAAAAAAATAATTGAAGCTTGTGTGGTCAGAAGAGAACACAAGGCAAAAGCTCTACCTTTCAAAGTCTTGAAATAAATCCTTTTTTTATTCAGAAAAAATTGTAGTGATACATTATATGAGTAAAGAAAAGTGGGAAATAAAGCTGAATTTCTAAGAGAGGAAAAGAAGAACAATAAAAAATAAAAAAGGGAAAAAATTACTAAGAGCAAAAAATCGGTGCTTCTTATCTTCGCCTCAAAGAGTTACTTGATTGACTTCAGTCGTTCCGTATATTTCATATAAAAGCATTTCAGGACTGTTTTTTAAGGAGATGAATGTATTAGGACAGTGTTTCTCAACCTGGGGGTCGGGGCCCCTGGGGGGGGGACGTGAGGGGGTGTCAGAGGGGTCACCAAAGAGAATTAGAAAACACAGTATTTTCTGTAGGTCGTGGGGTTCCGTGTGGGAAGTTTTGCCCAATTCTATCATTGGTGGAGTTCAGAATGCTCTTTGATTATAGGTGAACTATAAATCCCAGCCACTACAACTCCCAAATGTCAAGGTCTATCTTCCCCAAACCGCACCAGTGTCCACAGTTGGGCATATTGAGTACTCATGCCAAGTTTGGTCCAGATGCATTGGTGTTCTCTGGATGTGGGTAAACTACAACTCCAAAACCCAAGGTCAATGCCCACCAAATCCTTCTAGTATTTTCTGTTGGTCATTGGAGCTCTATGTCCCAAGTTTGGTTCAATTCCATCATTGGTGGAATTCAGAATGCTCTTTGATATGACTTAATGTCAGTGGAAAACCTTTTTTTACCTTTACATTGTCATATAATCCAAAGCAGTCATGCTGGCCGCTTGACCTTGGAAGTGTCTACGGACAATGCTGGCTCTTTGGCTTAAGAGTTGGACACGACTGGACTTAATGTCAGTGGAAAACCTTTTTTTACCTTTACACTGTCATATAATCGAAAGCAGTCATGCTGGCCGCTTGACCTTGCAAGTGTCTACGGACAATGCTGGCTCTTTGGCTTAGAGTTGGACACGACTGGACAATGTAAAGGTAAAGGTACCTTTACATTGTCATATAATCCAAAGTAGTCATGCTGGCCGCTTGATCTTGGAAGTGTCTACGGACAATGCTGGCTCTTCGGCTTAGAGTTGGACACGACTGGACTTAATGTCAGGGGAAAACCTTTTTTTACCTTTACACTGTCATATAATCCAAAGCAGTCATGCTGGCTGCTTGACCTTGGAAGTGTCTACGGACAATGCTGGCTCTTCGGCTTACAGTTGGATACGACTGGACTTAATGTCAGTCGAAAACCTTTTTTTACCTTTACATTGTCATATAATCCAAAGCAGATAATCTGGATTTTATATGGCGGTGTAGAAGGGGCCCTGAAGGCAGATGTATATGGATATTCAAATTAGATTTGTCCCCAAAGAAAATTTACCAGAATCTCAGCCTAGTAAGCCTTCCCCCTCCTAGCTTATTATAACAAAAAAAAAATGACACCCTTTTTTCCCCTTTTCACAATTAATGGCCACACCTTTCACCTTCGTTGGAATTTCCTCAAACTCCATTATAAATACCCCTCATGGCCGAGGAAGGCTTTCACAGTCGCCTTTGGACACAGCCAGGGCCAAATCTCTCTCCTCTGGCTTCCCAGCAGTTGCAGAGCCAAACGTCAGAGGCAGCCACCTAAAAAGAAAAAAAGAAAAGGAAGAAAGGGAGGAGGAAATCCGCAGCCAAGAGAAGGATGAAGTCAGCAGCACAAAGTAAGTAGTAGGACTTTGGCCAGTTCCCTTCTCTCGCAAGAGCCGGTAAGTTCTCTTGTTCTCTTGCGGCTCACTTTTGGAAAGGCGCTTTCCCAAACTCTTTGGGCACATCTGGATTATTTCCGACTAGGGCTAAAAAGCCAGGAGAGGGGACCCTTTTGGTCCACATTCAAAGACTTCATCGCTGAGTTACTATATAGAATATCAGCATGCAAACTTAGTAGTGCAAACTTTCCTAAACTTTAGACTGTTGCTTCAGTTGTGCTTCTCTCCCAGGCTCCAATGTGCGACAAGATCTCTTTGGCAGGCTCTATCTTCATGTTTGCAATAGAAAGGAAGGTGTTTTGTTTTGTTTTGTTAGACAAATAAGGTTTTAAATGAAAGGAATGATGTCTCCAGACACATGCCATCCCTCCAATGGGGGAAATAGGCCAGGCTTTATTGTGGGAAAGGTGTTGAGCTGTCCCAGCTGGTTTTAAAGGGTCATAAAATCATTGATTCTCTTGTTTGGCTAGTTCTTCTTCACTAAAGGGCTGATTCTTCCTTTAGCGTGAAAAAACCGAAAGGTTTTTGGAAGAAAAACTTTTCTCTCTCTTAGCAGTGCAATCTTGTGCCTGCCTTAGGAAACATCTACAGTCTAGAATAAATGTATTTTGGCTTCATTTGCCATAGTTAAACAGTATGGAATCATTGGAGTTACAGTTTTACAAGGTCTCGAGACTTCTCTTCCAGAGAGTGTTGATGCCTCACTACAAATCTACAAATTCCATAGCATTGATTCCATAGTGCAGTGTCTCTCAACCTTCCTAATGTCGTGACCCCTTAATACAATTCCTCATGTTGTGGTGGACCTCACCCATAAAATTATTTTTGTTGCTACTTCATTACTGTAATTATGAATCGTAATGTAAATATCTGATATGCAGTATGTATTTTCATTCACTAGTCCGAATTTGGCATAAATACCTGATATGCCCAAATTTGAATACTGGTAGGGATGAAGAGGGGGTTGATTTTGTCATTTGTAAGTTGTAGTTGCTGGGATTTATAGTTCACCTACAATCTAAGAGCATTCTGAACTCCACCAATGAGGGAACTGAACCAAACCTGGCACACAGAACTCCCATAACCAATAGAAAATACTTGGTGGGCACTGACCTTGAATTTTGGAGTTGTGGTTCACCTACATCCAGAGAGCACTGTGGTGTCAAATAATGATGGATCTGGACCAAACTTGGCACGAATCCTCAATATGCGAACATTGGTGTAGTTTGGATAAAATAGACCTTGACATTTGGGAGTTGTGGTTGCTGGGATTTATAGTTCACCTACAATCAAAGAGCATTCTGAACTCCACCAATGATGGAATTGAACCAATTGGCACACAGAACTCCTATGACCAACAGAAAATACTTGGTTTTGGAGTTATAGTTCACCTACATCCAGAGAGCACTGTGGTGTCAAATAATGATGGATCTGGACCAAACTTGGCACGAATCCTCAATATGCTCAAATGTGAACATTGGTGTCGTTTGGATAAAATAGACCTTGACCTTTGGGAGGTGTAGTTGCTGGGATTTATAGTTCACCTACAATCAAAGAGCATTCTGAACTCCACCAATGATGGGATTCAACCAGACTTGGCACACAGGACTCCCATGACCAAAAGAAAATACTGGAAGGGTTTATTGGACACTGACCTTGAGTTTTGGATGTAGTTCTCCTACATTCAGACAGCACTGTGGTCTTAAACAATGATGGATCTGGACCAAACTTGGCATGAATACTCAATATGCCCAAATGTGAACACTGGTGGGGTTTGGGGAAAATAGACCTTGACATTTGGGAGTTGTAGTTGCTGGGATTTATAGTTCACCTACAATCAAAGAGCATTCTGAACCCCACCAATGATAGAATTGGGCCAAACTTCCCACACAGAACCCCCATGACCAACAGAAAATACTGTGTTTTCTGATGGTCTTTGGTAACCCCTCTGACACCCCCCTCGCCCCCCCCCCCCCCGGTGGTCCCCGACGCCCAGGTTGAGAAATGCTGCTATAATGTCTTGAACTGTATTTATCTTGCAGTATAGGTGGCACTTTCAGCAATTGATAGGTCAACATGCCAGAGTCAGAAATATATCCTCTCTCTTTGCACTGCATCTAGTTAAATATTTTGATGGACTTGTAGTTTTATAAGGTTTGGAACCTTCCCTGGCAAAGAGTGCCAAACCATAACTCCCATTGTTCCATAGCATTGAGCCATGGCAGGTAAAGTGGTGTCAAACTGTGTTGATTCTACAGTATGGATGCATCTTTAGTTGTTAATTGCTGTCAGACCAACTTTGACTTCTGAATACAAGCTCTCCGAAGTCGTCCTATCATCAATGGTTCAATGGGGCTTTGTGTCAAATGAATTTCTCTAAAAGTGTAGCCTAATCCCATTTATATGCCTCTCCAACAATATTTTTGGACATCTTATGTTTTATGTAATTCATCTTCACACTTGTTTTATATTTGTGTCTCTATGCCTTCAAGCCACTTGTCCACCTATGAATTTCATTGGGTTTTCTTACGCAAGGAATACTCCAAAGTTGTTTTACCAGTTCCTTTCTCTGAAACCTAGTAGCTTGCAGCACTTGGTATCTAGTAGCTTGGCACACACCCATCCAAATACTAACTAAAGCTGATCCTGCTTCCAAGATCAGACAGAATCTGGTGCCTTTAGGATATTTAGGCTTGAGGCTACCAAAGTCTTGATTTGCCCAAAGCTGCCCAATCAGGCCGAAGCCACTCCCAAAACTCAACCACATGTCTGCGGTTTTATCGTGCCCCACGTTGAGCTTTTTTAAAAGGCGAAACAGAATCCCAAGGCTGGAAGTTTCATGGAAGTTGTGGAGCGAGTTATTCTTTGCTCACAAATGAACCCAGCTTATTTGCAGCAGTCTGCAGAAGCTTCAGTAGGCTGTGCTAAGCAGTGGGTGACCTTTACACATGAAAATATTGGAGGGTTGGTTCGAATTTCCTTTCTGCTGTATGCAAACTGCTCCAATTTTTTTTAAGTGTCAGGGAGGAAAGAAAGAATCCCGTGGCACTTTTGAGACTTAGGCCAAATCTGCACTGCCATTTAAAATCCAGATCATCTGCTTTGAACTGGATTATATGAGTCTACACTGCCAAATAATCCAGCTCAAAGCAAATAATCTGGATTTTACATGTCAGTGTAGATGGGGCCTTACTTTATTTCCATATAAGGTTTCTTTAGGTGCATCTACATTGCCATGTCATGCAATTTGAACTGCGTGATATGGTCAGTGCAGACCCATATCATGCAGTTAAAACTGTATGGGTCTACACTGACTATATAATGAAGATCAAGCTGAATTATATGACAGTGTAGAGCAGGGTTTCTCAACCTGGGGGTCGGGACCCCTGGGGGGTCACGAGGGTGTATCAGAGGGGTCGCCAAAGACCATTAGAAAACAGTATTTTCTGTTTGACATGGGGGGTTCTGTGTGGGAAGCTTGGCACAATTCTATCGTTGGTGGGGTTCAGAATGCTCTTTGATTGTAGGTGAACTATAAATCCCAGCAACTACAGCTCCCATATGTCAAGGTCTATTTTTTCCCAAACTCCACCAGTGTTCACATTTGGGCATATTGAGTATCCGTGCCAAGTTTGGTCCAGATCCATCATTGTTTGAGTCAACAGAGCTCTCTGGATGGAGCTGAACTACAACTCCAAAACTCAGGGTCAATGCCCACCAAACTCTTCCAATATTTTCTATTGGTCATGGGAGTTGTGTATGCCAAGTTTGGTTCCATTTCATCGTTGGTGGAGTTCAGAATGCTCTTTGATTGTGGATGGACTATCAATACCAGCAACTACAACTCCCAAAATCAATTCGTCTGAACCCCACCAGTATTCAAATTTGGTCATATTGGATATTTGTGCCAAATTTGGTCCGGTGAATGGAAATACATCCTGCATATCAGATATTTACATTACAGTTCATAACAGTAGCAAAATCACAGTTGTGAAGTAGCAGCAAAAAATAATTTTATGGTTGGGAGTCACCACAACATGAGGAACTGTATTAAGGGGTCGCGGCATTAGGAAGGTTGAGAAACATTGGTGTAGAACCAGCCATAGACTACAGGCCACATTTCAGAGGCATTTGAAAAGGTGTCAAAACTCCTTATGCAGCCTTTCTCTCCTTTATTTATTTATTTATTTATTTATTTATTATGTTTATATTATATTTATTTATACCTGGCTTTTTCTCTCCACAAAGGAGATTCAAAGCAGCTTACATTAAAAGCATATGGTTTATGGGTTGTTTTAGGTTTTTTCGGCCTATATGGCCATGTTCCAGAGGCATTCTCTCCTGACGTTTCACCTGCATCTATGGCAAGCATCCTCAGAGGTAGTGCCATAGATGCAGGCGAAACGTCAGGAGAGAATGCCTCTGGAACAGTGTTTCTCAACCTAAGGGTCGGGACCCCTGGAGGGGTTGTGAGCAGGTGTCAGAGGGGTTGCCAAAGACCATTAGAAAACACAGTATTTTTTTGTTGGTCATGTCTGGGAAGTTTGGTCTAATTCTATCATTGGTGCGGTTCAGAATGCTCTTTGATTGTAAGTGAACTATAAATCCCAGCAACTACAACTCACAAATGTTAAGGGCTATTTTCCCCAAACTCCACCAGTGTTCACATTTGGGCATATGGAGTATTTGTGCCAGGTTTAGTCCAATTCCATCATTGTTTGAGTCCACAGTGCTCTAGCAGGTGGTAGGTGAACTACAACTCCAAAACTCAAGGTCAATGCCCACCAACCCCCTCCAGTATTTTTTGTTGGTCATGGGAGTTCTGTGTGCCAAGTTTGGTTCAGTTCCCTCACTGGTGAAGTTCAGAATGCTCTTTGATTGTAGGTGAACTATAAATCTCAGCAAGTACAACTCACAAATGACAAAATGAATTCTCCCTCCAACCACACCAGTATTCAAATTTTGGCATATTGGGTAAGGTAAGATAAAAGCTTTCCACCGACATTAAGTCCATTAGTGTCCAACTCTGGGGGTTGGTGCTCAGTTTCTAGGCCAAAGAGCCAGTGTTGTCCATAGACACCTCCAAGATCATGTGGCCAGCATGACTGGATGGAGCTCCGTTATTGGGTATTTGTGCCAAATTTGGTCCAGTGAATGAAAATACATCCTGCATTTCAGATATTTACATCATGATTCATAACAGTAACACAATTAACATTAGGAAGTAGCAACAATAATAATTTTCTGGTTGGGGGTCACCACAACATGAGGYACTGTATAAAGGGGTCGCGGCATTAGGAAGGTTGAGAACCACTGCTCTAGACCATGGCCATATAGCCCGAAAAAACCTACAACAACCCAGTGATTCCGGCCATAAAAGCCTTCGACAATRCATATGGTTTATACTATATGTTAATGTTTATACTATATTTTATGTTGTTGGGGGCATTGGATTATGCCGATTGTAAACCACTTTGATTCGCCTTCGGGCTGAGAAAGGCGGTATATAAATATGGTAAATAAATAAATAAATAAAACCACTTAAAATCTACAAATATACAAACATTGTGAAACAGAATGGAATATCAAGCATTTTTTTTTAAAAAAATCACAGTTAAAATTTATGAAAACTGATTGAAAACAAAGCTAAAAGCAGGTAAAAGATGAAACAGAGTCAGAAACCTGTACTGAAATAGGTAAAAGTTGTTATCTTTTTTTAAAAAAAAATCATACCAGTATTTCTTAAAGTTTGCACAGTTTTTGATCACATGATGAAAGATTTTACTAGGAAAGTAAATAGATGCATTCTGGACACACTATTATTGATTGGTTAAGTGAAGTGAGATGGAGTTCACAAGAATTTGCACTAGAATAACATTAAGGCCCCTTCTACACTGACAGATAATCCAGGTTATCAAAGCAGAAAATTCACATTATCTGATTTGAACTGGATTGATTATCTTAGTCTACACTGCCATATAATCCAGTTCAAAGCAGATAATGTGGATTTTATATGGCAGTGTAAAAGAGGCCCAAGTGCCCTTCCACACAGCCATATAACCCAGAATATCAAGGCAGAAAATGCCACAATATCTGCTTTGAACTGGGTTATCTGAGTCCACACTGCCATATATTCCAGTTCAAAAGAGATATTGTGGGATAGTATTCATCTGTGTGGAAGAGGCCTCCTAGACAGGCCTATATCCCAGGAACTGATCCTAAGTTTTCTGGTTTAACCTGGATTATATGAGTCCCCACTGCCAGATAATTTGGGATAAACAGAAAACCTTGGGATGAGATGGGATATAGGGCCTGTCTGGAAGGTCCCTTAGAGGACAATTGATGCTTGCCTGGGATTTAAAGAACTTTACTAGGTGCATGAAATGACTTCTAATAAATGAGAACATTATGGAGCCTCCGGTGGCGCAGTGGGTTAAACCCTTGTGCTGGCAGTACTGAAGACCGACAGATCGCAGGTTCGGATCCGGGGAGAGGCAGATGAGCTCCCTCTATCAGCTCCAGCTCCTCATGTGGGGACATGAGAAAAGCCTCCCACAAGGATGATAAAAACATCAAATCATCTGGGCGTCCCCTGGGCAACGTCCTTGCAAGACGGCCAATTCTCTCACACCAGAAGCGACTTGCAGTTTCTCAAGTTGCTCCTGGCACGACAAAAAAAATGAGAACATTTGCAACAACCAAAAAGTGTCACAAATACTTAAGATGTCATCCTTGTGTTTGTTTATTCTGTTGCTAGATTCAAAACTGAGCATGTTGTATTTCACATTCATCTGCAAACCTGCTTCCTGCAACTTAAATCATTATTATCTTCATACAGCAATGGGTGACCTAAGGTCCCTTAAGATGTTTCTGAACTGCAGCGCCCACACTTCACTGTTCTAATAAACTCCTCTGATGTGAGCCGCAGTCCAGTGACACCAAGGACCCCTCCTACACTGCTATATAAAAACCAGATTATCTGCTTTGAATTGGATTATATGGCAGTGTAGACTCATATAACCCAATACTCCAAATAGATAAATTCCCTTCTTCTAGAGAAGACCATTATGCTGGGGAAAATGGAAGGAAAAAGGAAGAGGGGCCGACCAAGGGCAAGATGGATGGATGGCATCCTTGAACTCTGAAGGAGCTGGGGGAGGTGACGGCCAAAAGGGAGCTCTGGCATGGGCTGGTCCATGAGGTCACGAAAAGTCGGAAATGACTGAATGATTGAACAACAATTCTTCTAATGGACATTGACATGCTTGATAGTTTTATGAACTTTTTGTAATGCCACCATCCTCTCTTCTTCCAGGTGGTATTCTTTCTCTCATTTGCATTGCACTTTGGTCGCTCTTGATGTGCTCAGCTGCACCCTTGCCCGAGTCCTCTGGGGACCCAGAACTCATCCAGTTTAAATGGAAAAACAAAGAATTTGTCGCCAGGATGAAGAGCGAGATCAGTGACTTGAAAGAATCGATGGTAAGCTCATACTGCATTGGACTTGAAGTTGAAATCCAAAAAATCTGATGGATCAAAGGGTGAAAAGTAGATCTGAACACTACTGAAATCCTGGAAAAAAATGCCATCTACTTATATTACCTATTGACATCTAATTGTTAGGAAAGCAACTACATATAAAGAAGTCCTAATGTACTAATCTTGATTGGGCAAACATGATTTAAAATGGCTCATTCTTGCCAAGTTGAGTTCTCAGATAAACAAAATAGTTGGCAAGTCATTCTGCCGAGGGACTCCTCTTCCAGCCATTTCCTCTAAATTACAGTTTGCTCCTCCAAGAAGTCTTAATCCCATATAGAGTGTCGCTTTCACTTTTCCTAGTATTGTGAATTTGGTCAAGCCCCTATTTAATCCCTACAAATTTATTGGTTTCGAACTTCCCGGCATCTGTGAGTTTTTGCCAACCCGGAAAGGTCACCATTCACTGACAAAAGGAGCAAAATGGTTTGCAAACATGAACTGGTAAAGCGTTGGCCTTCTCATTAGCTTCCTTTTGGGGGCCAGTTTGACTAGATCTGTCAAATCAAAATGAAATGTATTTCATACTGCTCTTATCTGTTAATCTGAAAGAAAAATTACACCACAAGGGGAGTTGCTTGCTACTCATTTTGCAACCATTTAAATTCTTTAGTCTGGATGGTGCAGGTAGGTTGGCAAAGGTCTTTGGAAGGAGCCTGCATAATGTAGTAGTCTGAGCATTGGATTTTGATTCTGAATTTAGCTCTTTAAGGGAAATAAACCCCAATATATTGTTCAGACGATCTAAATTCAGTACCCAGAAAGCTGTTTTTTGTACAGTGGATAAAAATTGTATAGTTCACAATTTTTCAGTGGTCTTGGGGAATCCTCTTATTCATGCACTTTTGCCATCTTTGCAAGTGCATTCCAAATTATTCCACAGATAAAGCTGAGCATCATTGAGATATACACTCCTCCAATATGAACATCTTGTTCTAGTTGGGATGCTGAGTTCTGGGGAGAAGGACGACTCTGTTTATTCGAAACCTAACCTGCTTACTTAGGATTTGTCGAGACTTCCTCATGGCACCACGACAACTAAAAGAATTGCCAAAAAATCATGGGTGTTGTCTGGTGGAGAGAAGGAAGTCTGATTCCATTTTAATATTTACCCTTTGTCTGTTTTTAATGGCATTGCTTTTGAAGTATGGGTTGCTTTGGGTCTCAATGTTGAGAAAAAAGTGGGCAATGATTGTAGAATAATAATAATAATAATAATAATAATAATAATAATAATAATAATAATAATTTGAAGTTTTTATTGGGGGGAGGGGGGCAATGCCAGCTACCTTATAAAGTCTATCAGCAGGTGTAGGTTTGAGACAATAATTTGAAGTGTGATATGTTGAGCACCTTATACATTTGTACCAGGCAACTGCTCCTTCTGACTACAATTCCTTGTTTATTCCTTTGTCTTCCAGCGTACAGATTTCAGCCTCGGTACCGATGATCAGTTTCTCTTCATGCAGGATTTCCTGAGCATTGAGCAAGTGGATCATTCCCATTGCCAGAAAGCAACCTGTGATCTGGTGAGTAGTAGTTACTATTTATTTAAGCCCATTTCCCTTAATGGACAGAAAGTTCTTGGTTAACATTTTACTTTCCCTCGTGTGTAATTACACTTGTGTTGGTTCATAAAACAATACTATACTAGTATTATTTTATTTTTTATTTATTTACAGTATTTATATTCCGCCCTTCTCACCCCACAGGGGACTCAGCGTGGATTACAGTGTACACATATATGGCAAACATTCAATGCCGATTTGACATGCAACGTATACAGACATACACAGAGGCTATTTAACTTTTTCTGGCCGCCAGGGGAGCTGTCGCTTTCATCATCCATCTGCAACACTGATGAAGTACTTCCGCATTCCCCGCATGCTTTTGCTGGAGTGCTTTGTTGGAGTCTTTTTTATGGCCTCATAAATTAGTTAATTTAGCCTCCCCACACAAGGTGGTACCTTATTTTCCTACTTGACAGATGCAACTGTCTTTCGGGTTGCAAAGGTATAAATAACTAGGAATAAAGCAGTGCTAGTTCCAGAACTTCAAAACTACTTCTCTGGACTACAAGTCATAGACTCCAAAGACAGAATGGAGTCTGGGGAATTCTGGGAGCTGCTGGCCAAACATAACGTTTCCAAGTTCTTGTTTTTACATGGTATTTAAAAGCACCTTTTTTTCTCACAAAGGATTTTGTACTTGACCTCTTATTTAGAAGTTGGCTACTTTCAGTTGTAGGATCAAATCCAGCCAAACTACTCTATTGCAAAACAAACAGCAGTTTATTTAAGTAGCTCCTTTGGGGTTGAAGCACCATTATATCCCCTGAACATACCCAATCTCATCTGATTTCAAAAGCTAATCAAGTTTTGAGCCTTGTTATTACTTGGATGGGAGAGCAACACAGAATGCTGCAGATCTACAGGTAGGGCTAGGAGGCATGGTGTAAGTCTAAGTGCCACACTTTTAACTTATCAGTGTGATGATGGCCATAAATTAGTTTTAATAAGCCACCCATGACAAGAAGCCAACTATGATTCAGGTTCTCCAGTAGCAATGATCCATGTATTAGATAAAAATTTAGCCTCATTTACATTGCCATATAATCCAGTTTCTGAATCCGGATTATCTGCTTCGAACTGGATTATTGAATAGATCCAGCCCCATTCCCCATAAAGTATACCATAAATTACTCATTTTTGTTTCCTTCCTGGTAAATCCAGCACAGTAAAACTTGGAACAAGGGAACGGGAATAATTGAGTGTGTGCTATTTGCAAGCCTTATTCGTTTATTTATAAACACATCTTGGATAATGACAGTTCATGTGATTCAGTTTCCTGACCTTAGTTACCAAAAATGGGGGCAGGGGAAGGGGTTCTTCTTGGTAACCAAACTCAGAGGGAAATGAATCGTCTTGGAGATGGAATTATGCAATCCTTGTTCAGCACTTTTGAAAGCTTTAAGATACACGTTAGCAAGGTTGAAAGGCATTCGGAGAGGAGATTAGATAAGGAGCACAGTCGAACAGAAGGGGCTGGTCCAACTGGAGAAACAAGACTCCAGATCTGAAATTGTCTTTCCCCCACCCCTACAATACCTATAAGATGGGAATCGGTGGGATTTTTTTGGAATATTGTTTCCGAGTGTCATTTTGACATTATCCATTTAAAAAAATGTAGAACAGAATAGGTTTAATGTAGCGATCTGAGTGTTGAACTAGGATTCTGGAGACCAGGGTTCAAATCCTCACTTGGGACCTCATCACTCCACTTTAAATCCAGTTGCTGCCTTCTGCAGAATTCTGAGTTTTGCAGTTTAGGAAGGAGCCTTTAACAGTCTCACTAAACTACAAACCCCAGAATTCTGCAGGAAACAGAAATCGGATTTGAAGTTCATTCATTTTCTAGTGTGATAAGGAAACTTACTCTTTTGGATTTAGAGAAAGTCAAAGATTCACCTTGTCTGAATAAATCTTAAGATCTTCCAGAGAGGCCCTGCTCTTGGTCCCACTATCTTCGCAGGCGTGTTTGGTGGGGACGAAAGAGGGGGCCTTCTCTGTGGTGGCCCCATGGCTATGCAACTCTCTCCCTGGCGAGATTAGGTCTGCCTTCTCCCTCCTGTCATTCAGGAAGCACCTAAAATCCTGGCTTTGGAGGCAGGCATTTGCAGATTGACGGATGATTTGATATAGACACAGTGTTTTGGACTGAGTTGGATGTTGTTTTTAATGTGATGAATTGTTTTTATATGTATTTTAGAACTTATTTATTGTATGTTGTTTTATGACATTATTTATTATATAGCATTGAATTTTCATGTTAGCCGTTCTGAATCCCTCCACGGAGGTACAGAAGAACAGGATACAAAAGTTCTAAATAAATAAATTATGCGTTCACCAACTTTAAAATGCATAACCAAACTATTCCAAAATGGTAATTATGAAGCAAAATAGAAGCAAATACTTCATGCCCTGCTCCCACCTGCCTTGGCTATGTCCTCTCATTCAAAATGCATTTAGGTTGAAACGTCATTCATAATGGGTTTTGTGTCTTATTTCGAGGAAGTGTAGTCCATAGCCCAAATGCATCCAAACTTACATTAGCTTTGAATGCATTTGCCACATGGACTACATGATTTTGTCAGTCTCCAGTAACCAACTCTACAATTATCATTATGGAGTCTAACATCTTGCAATATATTTCATTCAACCCTTCAAAAGGAAGATTACCAAACAGCTAAATAAATATTGCTGATAACAGCATTCAAGGGAACTCCCCTTATCTGTTTTCCCAGCAAATATTTCTTAATGGTCTAACAACTCCTAGCATACAAAGTGAGTGCTGGGAGAATTGAGAAGGTCGGAGCATTAACAGAGCTACCCGGATTTTTTTAACAAAATCAAATTCTTGGTGCATATGGGGAAATCCTCTCCTTGCTTTCACCTCGTATAACCTAATTAATATATCCGTCCTTAATATATCATTTTATAGCTTCTTTTTAGTTGTTCTTTGGCACAGATGGAAGCTGAGTGTCCTAAAAGTGTATCGTATTCTCTTTTAATTTTGTGTTCGTCCCAATCAGTCACAACCCAAACATGTAATACATATCTGTCCCAATTGGGCCATGCCTCGTATTTCATCCTAGGAAGTCAGTGTGGTTGGTTAACTACTCACCCCTATATCACATATGTTGTATGTAAATATCGGACTGATTTAAAACCTAAAATTATTTTGAGACATCACTTAGCATACTAAATTACATGTGCGCACACATTTCTCTCTCCTTTCCTCTCCCAATACCTCGCATCTATTCCCACCCTCTTGTCAAAACTGCTATGATTTTGAAACAACACCAATCCCTTAGAATATGTCTGTCTACTGTCCTTTGTTTTATTTATTTAGTGTGTTCTATAAATATACTAAAATAAATATCTTCGAAACCACCTTCAGCACTCCAGGAAGTGTGTGCAGTTATGCTCTCCAGCCTAAACAGTGTTGCCAATGGGGTGAAACTAAGGTGGAAGGAGAGTCTGGCCACATAAAAGACTTAATTTTTCTTTCTTTCCTTTTTAAATCTTTTCCTTGCAGGGAAATTGTTTCAAGCAATTGCGGGCAGGCCTGCACACCTACTACGGCTACCTCTCACACATTAAACAGATCCTGCCAAATTACACGAACAGAGTATCCAGTCTCCAGCTGGACACCTCAAACCTCTCCACCAACATCCAGCTGCAGGTGAGAAACTGGTGTATAGCTTGCTCCAACTATATTGGGGAAAGGAAAGAATATTATCATGAGTCACAGAGTAAATGGAGAGACTTTGGGCCTTTCCACACAGCCATATAATTCAGAATATCAAGGCAGAAAATTCCACAATATCCGCTTTGAACTGGGTTATCTAAGTCCAAACTGTCATATATTCTAGTTCAAAGCAGAACATGTGGGATTTTATTCAGCTATGTGGAAGGGGCTTTTACCTCTAGCAGAGGAACAGAAATGTTGGAGCAGGAAGTGTGAAGGATCAGTGGCTGGCTACAATTGGGATCTCATCACAAAGGTCCTGGTGAGGATCATTGAGAGCCTGTCACTTCATGCCCCGCATCGCATGAATTACCAGGGACTCCATCTTATGGGGGGAAGCTGTACGGCTTCTCCCCATTGTCCTGAAGGCAACATGGGAAGCCTCCGGTGTTCTTGCCGCGGTGGCGGCATACACCGCTTCCTCTCCCCCCTTCTAGCTCAAAGTACTCATGCATCGTGTAATGGGCTTCATCGGGAAAGAGGAGAGGAAACAGTGCATGATAGGGAAAGGAGCCTATCTGATATGGTACTTAGTGCATTTAACTGAATAAAAATGTTATTAAGGACTTCATCACAGTTACCAATTTAAGCATCCTAGGATGCTTGCCAGCCAGTTGAGAAACAGATGGGAACACAACTTATCACATGATGTCCCTTGACTTCCGGCAGAGGCCCTGCCCCCAAATAGCATAGAAGTGTTTTAGGGTGCTGTCTCTTCAACACAGGAAGTCTACCCTGGTTGGGCGATGAACCAGAGCAGCGCATGGGGCGATTTCACCACTTTTGCTGGCAAAGCAGCACGTGTGTGAGTGTGTATGTGTGTGTGATAAGGTCCTTAATTGGTTAGTTGCTTTCTGTCCTGATTGCAGATAATCTGGATTTTGTATAGCAGTGTAGATGGGATTTTGATCAACTGTATGCAGAGCTAGAACTGTACCAACTGTCAGTAATCATAGTGTTTTTGTCCTTGTCCTTCACGATGGCTAAGAGGATCATGTGCCCTCCAGCCATCCCAATTAATCCTCTCTCATTCCACTTTTAATTTTAATTTCCCAGTCTCTCTTTTTCTCACTCTCCCCTCCAACCTACTTTAATTGCTGCAAACTGAGTCTGAAGTGCAAAAGTAGTTTGTGCTCAGCAAGAGAAAAGGAGAAAGCGAAATCCTATCCTTCCCAGTTGGCTCAGGCAAAAGCAAACTGCTTGCAAACCTGTCCTGGTTTGTGGTTCTTCCTTGGTAGTCACTTCTGCTGTGTCCTGGTTTTCATCCGTGAAATGTTGATGTTGCAGCACTGCCTCAAAAGATATATCTCCTTAAATAAAGCAGTGTGTGACTCCTTTTTTCTTTTTCTTTCTCTCTCTTTCTTTCTTTCTTTCTCTTCTTCTTCTTCTTCTTCTTCTTCTTCTTCTTCTTCTTCTTCTTCTTCTTCTTCTTCTTTGGAGACCTTATCAAACATCAAGTGTTCTTTTCGCCACCAAATGAGATAAAGTGGATGACTTAGATCACATTAATGTATTTCTAAACTTCGGGAAATAAGGTCTCTAGTCAGATTCAGGTTAAAAACTAATATGAGGTTTTTCTCTTCTTTCTCTTCTGCAGTTTGAAGAAAGTAGCCTGCCTGTTGTCACCTATCCACAAGCAGAAAACCAGTCCAACATTTTTCAGGCACAAAGAGAAATTGGAAGCTATCTTGTCCTCCGCAAATTCATGCTGTTCATGGATGTCATTACACGAGCGCTAAACCATTGCATTGTGTAATTTGAAAGGAGGTGTGAAGGATTCTCCCGGGAGGATGCTCCTGATTGACTTCTCTTTGACCAAAGATGCAGACTGAAGAGAGATGGATGCCCTTTTCCTGACAGAATTGCTTAGACTGACAGGGCCGCTGAATTTTGTTATTTATTCATTTTTAAACATGTCAAAGTATATTTTATTTAAAGTGGTGGTAGAATAAAACAGGGTTTAAAAACAGGCAGCAACCAAGAGCCATTTTTACTGGCTTATTGGGGTTCTCCTCTGCCATTTTCTTTTGACAGGAAATAATGTGGATTATATTTTTGCTACTGAACTAATCCTTTTTATCATTGTGCCCACAACTTCATACTGAATTTTAACCCAGTTGGTGAAGTTCTTCCAAACACATGTTTGAAACTTTGATTGGAAAAAATACCCAATGAACAATGCTGTAATGGTAGTTCTTGTAATTTTCAAACTCTGATGACCTCAGAGGCTAAAATATAATGAATCTTCTAGCAGCATTTTCTTGATCATAAAGTATTAACTCTTTCCTCTTTCTGCAAAAGCGCAGGTTGTATACAATCCATATAGGTACTTGGAGCCGTGTGGCGCAATGGGTTAAAACTCTTGTGCTGGCTGAACTGCTGACCTGAAGACCTTAAGGTTGGCGGTTCGAATCCGTGAAATAGGGTGAGCTCCTGTCTGTTATCCCCAGCTTCCCATATGGGAACATGAGAGAAGCCTCCCGCAGGATGGTAACACATCTGGGCATCCCCTGGCCACATCTTTGTAGATGGCCGATTCTCTCACACCAGAAGCAACTTGCAGTATATTCTCAATTACCTTCTGACATGATAATATATATATATATTCAATTCAAATAGTACCTGCATATATATATATATATATATATATATATATATATATATATATGCAGGTACTATTTGAATTGAGTCATCTAAACATTTCTTAGAAATACTCTCTTCAAATATTTTGCTACATGACAGCTTTGGATGAACTTCAGCAAATGTATCTGTGATTGCAACTCAACTTTTGCATGGAAAACCCATAAGTTATTTTCATTGCCAAATTTCTAATGGTTTAGCCTTTTGGCAATCTCTTCCTAAGTTATTTGGGGGTTTTTTAATTTATTAGGTTTATTTATTTGTATTTATTGTATGTTTTGTGTTAGAAACATGTCAAATCTTCAGTTTGGACTATAGAGCTTTAATGTCATTGGTACGACAGTATTTATCACTTATTTAATATTTATAACAGTGCTAGCAATACAATCCTTAGGTTTTTTAAAAGTGATTATCCAAATACACTTTCGTCTTGGCAAGCCATAGACTTGCAGGGTGTGATTTCCTGCAATCTTGCTGTGGCGTGTATGTTGAGATATGCAACATTAAACTACTGTTTAATATTTAAACATAAAAGTACTGCCTGTGTTAGTAGGTAGACTAAATTGCAAGGTGATGAACAAGGGAGTTCCATGTTCTCACCTCTGAAAATCTCTTGAGCGCACTATGTAATACATCTTCTCTTTCATTACACATAGAATATACTTAACGTGGGGCTGGATCCTGATTTAGTTGTACTTACAATAGACTCATCACAAAAGTTGCTTTTTGAACTATTTCCATCTTATCTTGCATCAGTCAGGCTGGTTAGGGATTTTGTCGTGCATATTTTGCCACTGACCCACTGATTCCAAAAGTGGCATCAATTTCCCCCATCAGCTCTAGTTTTTGAGATACCGAACATATGTTATATACCAGTCTTAATCTATTTGCACACACAAAAATCACAATGACCATATCTAAGGAACTAGAGCTGATGCTGCCTCTCCAATGCAATTTTCTTAATCAGTGCCCCAAATAAACCCAGGAATAGCCCTAAAAACCAAGCCAATGAAAGTCCCCAATGGACTTACTATTAGTGTGATGAGATCTTGATCCAGCCCCTGGATTGCAAGCATGCATATGCTGCATGTTTAGAAAGGGTTAGTACAGAGTTATTTTGAAATTACTTGCTGGTATAGTATTTACCTTTTGGACTCAATGCATTCTTCCATCTGCAAATAGCAATACTTTATTGTTAAGCAGAGATGGTGAACCAGGGATTCTTGATGTTGTTGGGCATCAACTCCTATCACTTCCTGGAAGTGCTGCCTTAAGTTGATGGGCATTGCAGTCAACCAGCATCTAGGGCAGTGGTTCTCAACCTGTGGGTCCCCAGATGTTTTGGCTTACAACTCTCAGAAATCCCAGCTAGCTTACCAGCTGTTAGGATTTCTGGGAGTTGAAGGCCAAAACATCTGGAGGCCCAAAAGTTGTGAGCCACTGTTCTAGGGGCTATTTGTTTCCATGTCTAAAACATTTGTTGCCTTGGCTGTAATCAGTTGCTATCTTCATCAGTCTAAGGGCAGAGAACCACGGGCTTCTAGATATTTTGGCCTACATCTCCCACCAATGTGGATTGTAGAAATAGTCTAAAATATCTTGGTGGAGCAAGATTCTTATCCCTTTATCTAGCAACCCAAGAATATTTCAAGGTTTTAGGTGGCAGTGGTGGTAGACCAACAGGCTTCACTGTTTTGTATGGCATTTTCACATAGGTGTGTCCATCTGGTATTGAGATATATAAGTCAAGCCTTAAAAGACATAGATGTACAAGTCACTAATTTTCTGTTGCCAGAAAAAATATCAGTTTTATTAAGTCCAGTTTGTGTGATTACCTTGTGTTTTTTTATGTGGAGTGGTCTTATTTAATTTTTGTCACCTGTGATTGTAACTTATTAAAATCAAGAATTGTGTCAAATTGGTTTGAATAGAATTCCACTCTGTTCCCAAATTGCTTTGCCTCAGTGGTTCCCAACCTTTGGGCCTCCAGGTGTTTTGGATTTAAATTCCCACAAATCCTTTCAGTTGGTAAGATGACTGGGATTTCTGGGAGTTGAAGTCCAAAACACCTGGAGGTCCAAAAGGTTGGGAACCACTGTGAGATGCTAGTCCAGTGGTTCTCAACCTGGGGTCCCCAGATGTTTTTGGCCTTCAACTCCCAGAAGGATCTCCCAGTGGCGCAGTGGGTTAAACCCCTGTGCCGGCAGGACTGAAGACCGACAGGTCGCAGGTTCGAATCTGGGGAGAGGCGAATGAGCTCCCTCTATCAGCTCCAGCTCCTCATGAGGGGACATGAGAGAAGCCTCCCACAAGGATGATAAAAACATCCAATCATCCGTGCATCCCCTGGGCAACGTCCTTGCAGACGGCCAATTCTCTCATACCAGAAGAGACTTGCAGTTTCTCAAGTCACTCCTGACACGACAAAAAAAAAACTCCCAGAAATCCTAACAGCTGGTAAACTGGCTGGGATTTCTGGGAGTTGTAGGCCAAAAACTCTGGGGACCCAAGATTGAGAACCACTGTGCTAATCCTTCAAGGATAACAATGGCCAACACACATTTTGGTGCCTCAAATGTTTGACCTGTTTCTGAGTATATTTGACCTGCTGATTCCAAAAATGGTACCAGTTTTCTCCAATCAGCTCTAGTTTTTGAGATATAGTACATATGCCATATATCAGTCTTCATCAGCTTGCCCATAGAAAATCCTGATAAGCATATCTAAGAAACTAGAGCTGATGCAGTGTATCCAATCAATTTTCTGAATCAGCGCTCCAAATAACTCAAAGAACAGGTTAGACTCCAAGAACATTGTTGTTGGGCTACGTAATGCTTCTTCCATCCAAAGCTTGCAGAGCACTCTTAGCTTCACATCCCAATATCGGCAGCAGAAGGCTGTTTGAGTCATCTATCTACAACACAATCAAGCAAAACGATTGAGAAATAGCTGGCATCATCCTCAGAACATATTCGGGTGAAATATTTTGCAACTTTCCATCTAAATGCGGTTTCTTTCATGTTTGTATTGAACGGCTATGTGAATATTTTACCAGATTTCAGTGCTTCTGTTATATCAGTGAACTGCCTCAATTACAACCTATCTGCTTGGATGGAAGAAGTAAAAGAATAATGATAGAAATATCAGCAATTAAAACTTTTGGAAGTATTCTGTGTGGCCACTCAGTGAATATGACAATGCAACATTTAAAGGGGAAGTAATAATTGGATTGTTCAATGGATACTGTTAGTATTTACAATCTCTACTTCTGTTGTATGACCTATCCGTTTTTTAAATCATGGCTAATGTTAAATGTTTCTCTAGTCCCGAAAATGTAATGTATGTATGAATTCATAACTACACAAACAGAAATAAAATGCATCCTTTTTATGCCATCAAACATGTGTCAGACTTGTGAATGCGTCAGGATCAAGTTCAACATGAATGAGAAGAAATCAGAAATAGGAGTAACCATTATGGAAAATGGAATGCTCACTTGGTAGTTGCAAGTATAAACATGGAAATCCCAAAGTGGCTGCAACGTTAGGACAACTATTCTGACTCATTTCCCTCCTCTGCGGAAATTCAGAGAAAACAGGTCAGTTTACAGAGCTGCTTAAACAAATAGTTAATGGCTTGGGTCCAGATTCAGGTAGAGGAACTTGGTATTGGAGTCAACAGCAAAGAGGTCAAGTATCCACACATGGGAAAGTCCAGAGCTATTGAGGTTAATGCAACTTGCTACAGCAGAGTTTCTGTTACAATCACTTTTAAGGAAACCTATGATAGCAGGTATTGCATTTATTTAATTTATGTGATGTCATTCTCCCAGCATGGGACCCAAAGAGGCTTACAGAGGCTAAGGTAAAAAAACTTGGTGGTAAAAACTTAAAAACAATGTTAAAATATGACATTAACACATTTTAAAAGTGTATCTCTATTATAAAAAATAACAATAAAATTAAAACTACAGCATAATATTTACTATATTTATACCCCGCTCTTCTCATCCCGAAGGGGACTCAGAGCAGCTTACAAAAAGGCACGATTTGGTGCTGCATATACATACATACAATGAAAGAGAACAGTATACATTAAAACCATTTTTTTAATTTCAGTCTTAAAACTCATTATTAAAACCACACAATCCAAAAGCATAGTCCAGGAGCCATTCCAGTCATAAATTGCACTATTCTGTATTCATTTATTGCACTTGGCACTACATTCCATGTTGGGAGAGATCATCCGGAGTTTTGGGGTGCGATGTCATCTGTACGCAGATGATGTCCAACTCTATCACTCTTTTCCACCTGCCACTAAGGAGGCTGTTCAGGTCATGAACCGGTGCTTGGCCGCTGTCACGGACTGGATGAGGGACAACAGATTGAAACTAAATCCAGACAAGACAGAGGTACTCCTGGTCAGTCGTAAGACCGAACAGGGTACGGGGTTACAGCCTGTGCTGGACGGGGTCACACTCCCCCTAAAAACACACGTACGCAGTCTGGGAGTTCTCCTGGATTCATCGCTGAGCCTGGAACCCCAGGTTTCAGCGAGGTCAGGGGAGCATTCGCACAATTAAAACTTGTGCTCCAGCTGCGTCCGTACCTTGGGAAGGCTGACTTGGCCACGGTAGTACACGCTTTGGTTACATCCCGCTTAGATTACTGCAACGCTCTCTACGTGGGGTTGCCTCTGAAGACTGCCCGGAAGCTGCAGCAAGTACAACGCGTGGCAGCCAGATTACTAACGGGGGCTGGGTACAGGGAGCACACCACTCCACTGTTACTCGAACTCCACTGGCTGCCGATTAGCTTCCGAGCACAATTCAAAGTGCTGGTGTTAACCTATAAAGCCCTAAACGACTCCGGCCCTGTTTACCTCTCCGAACGTATTCTCCCCTACGAACCATCAAGACCACTAAGATCGTCTGGAGGG